TTTAAAAACATTATATCAGAACATTATTAACAGAAATATATTTAAAAACATTATATATATGTTTGAAGTTATATACACAAAATGTAAATTTTACGTACAGCGTCAGTATTGTCGATAAAGGAATCATTTTCGTCGTATCCTGCGCCCAAGTCCACGTATTCATCATATTTGTGTCTTTTTTTCCCCGTAGTAGATGTTCCCTAAAAACCAGTGAAACATACATATTAATCGAATTTGTAGATTCAATCAAAATCAATTTTATGCATACATTAACATACATATTTCGCTTCAAATCGTTTTGCCATGTCTCTAAGCTTATCCTCGTCATCATCATCGAATGGGTCCAATCCGTTGGTCGCATTTTCATCCCCATCCTTTTGATCTTTTCTTCGTTTTTTCTGCATAACAAATAAATTCATTCCCAATTGCTATCAAATATGCATAGTTGTTTTACGCTCACAGAAACTAGTCCCAGTTATAAATTGCACTATCTCGATTCTCTATTTACCATTTTCACTAATTTATAAAAAATTCAGACTGATCAGAGAGAATACACTGCATCTACTTAATTGTAAGTGCATTTACAAGTGCAAACTCCGATTAGTGTGCACATCCGATTCAAACATAATTTAATATCATCATACATACATTAAATATTATACATTTAATGTATATATTCAAACATGTCAAATTTGTATCTTTCCAATATTTTGCTATTTACGGCACATTAAAATTCCAACCTATTTTAAGAATATATTTTTTCCACAGAATTAAAATGCACAATTTTATCGTCTTACGTAAACGCGCGCGAATATATTTTATGTATAATTAAATTCAATATAAATTTATATTAAATTCATATTAATTAAATTAAATTAATTCCAGATATATCCTATAAATTTATTATTAATATTGTAAATAAAAACATGATTTGTGTTTAATAAAATTCTTTAAAATTCTCTTAATTGAAAAGATCTATTGATAATTAAGAAATTATTTTATCTAATGATTTATGATAAATCACTATAGTATAGATATGAATGCTATAAATAATAAAAGTAAAATGTAATAGTTATTACATATATATAAAATAGCTTTTACATTTTACTTTTATAATTTATAACATTCAAAATCAAAGAATTAAACGACAAAATAATTTTTATTTAATTCATGGCACTCTTATTTTAAAACAAATTTTTACACAATTATTATTATTGCAGTGAGTATTAGTAATCATTTCAATTTGCATAAATATTATAAAAAGAGTAACGCAAAAAGTCTCTTGAATACAATAAAGAAAGTAAAACAAAGAAGAAAAAAAGAGACACGAATCGTCACTGAAAGGATGCTCGATGTGTTCACCGATACCAGGAGCACATATAGCAACTAGAGCATCATCCTTGCACTTTCACGCTCTCTTGTATGTATGTGTCACGGTCGCGAACCACCTCTTATAGCCTCCTGATTTCCTGATACTGGGACGCTGAATCGAGTGATTGATCTTGCCAGAGAGCGATGTAATTGTTGATATTCGAGAAACTATTATCTTTAACACATATCTCTCGTTCGAATCAATTTTATTAACTGTCGAAACTATGTCGAAATTAATTATTCAATCAATTAATGAGATGCATTGCTAATTGTATTATATATCGCTTTCCCTTTTTCTCGCAACATATGACTTTACAATTATTATCGGAATTCTTAACAAAAACATGGAATTAACCTAGTAACAGAATTTTCACGAGCGAGTTTAATAGATTAAAAAAATTTAAAGCAGAATTAAATTAAAGAAGAGAGCACAAAGAGCATATCATATGAGCATATTGTAGTATGCCATATGGTCGGAAAATAATAAAAAAAGAAAGAATAAGCGAAAGAAGAAGAGAAAATATATGATAAAGCAAACCACATACATTAAATTTGTATCTATAAATGTCAATGGAATTTTGTCAAGATCAGATAAAGGCAAGATAAGATAATTATTGAACTTTCAATTGTTAATATTTACTTTGTATTTAATTGCATGATATTAAGACTAATTTTAAAACGTGGAGATTGTTGAGCAATTTTTTACGTTGTAAACTTTCAAAATACGCACATTGTTTTTTCCTGAAATTAAATTCGCTAATGATCTGTATCACGCTTTCAAAACACGTGTGAAAATCAAAACAGAACAAAAAAACACCGAAAACATCATTAAATCTTATGATTAATCACATCCTTATACATTTTTGATATATGTATTTTCTGTATTTTTAATTAATGTAATTAACATTTTTTAAATCATAAATATCGGCGAAATACCTATTGATGATTAATTAGCTCTTATAATTAATTACTTTTTTTGCACCTTTAAATTAAAAATGAAAAAGTGAATAGTCTTTAAAGAAAAATTTATTTTATTTCTTGTCTAATTTCATTTTGTCAATTTCATTCATTTTGTCAAATACAAAAGTAATAATTATAAGTACATAATACTATTAATATATAGACTATTTTTTATACTTAAATGCTTGTCCCATCAATCATTTAAAAAATCAAAAATTATATATATATATATATATATATATATATATATATATAAACGTATGCAGGTATTGATAATATAGATAAATCAGACAAGGCATACGTGTTATCTATTATCTCAATAATGCTCTATACATAAAGAATACTATTAGTATTATAAAACTAGAGAAAATGCCTCAAATAACACAATAATACAATTTCCGAATAATACATATTTATTCGAAATATTTATTATGTATTTTCCTCGACAAAAATAAAGTTTGGCATCAATTATTCAACGCTATCGAGAAAAGAGACAGCAATAGATAAAATTTTATATCCCTTTGTACATGTATAAGAAAAAGAGAAGGGGAAGGGAGGATCGCGAAAGTGCGTGACATATACGTTTCGAGCGGCATATCTGATACGTGTCGGCGGTCACGAGTCTCCAGTGCATCGATCTACAATTCAGAAAGGAGAGCCCGCAACACATTCTCTCGCGCGCGCGTGAAATAAGAGACTCCGCGCGACACACGTTCACGCCGTATGTCGCGCGCTATTTCTCTATCCATCTCTCTCTCTCTCTCTCTCTCTCCGATCTATTTCTCCTTCGTGCAACGACCAACGAAAGGGAATATGTGGTTTGTGAAATAGACGCTACACATAACGAATAAAGCATCGTATCTCTTTCTTTTTCCCAAGAACAGAGAAAGAAGAAGCGAGAAGGAGAGAGACAGAGAGAGAGAGAGAGAGAGAGAGGACGAAGAGAGATGAAACGCCGGATGGTGTCGTCGCGCAATGGCAACTCTCGCATAGACGTTTTACGAGCAAAAGGGCCGCGTGAAGAATGCCGCGTTTTCGCGAGAAAGGCGCATCGCCTTCCCGAAACTCGACGAGGCGCAGCAGCCTCGTGACAGTCTCGTGCATATGTTGGGCCCGCACGCAACGATGACGTTGACAATGCGCGGATTTAACGCGGCGGGGACCGCGAATCGATCAAGGAGCCGTTTTCGCCCGTCTCAGCCATCGTGCCGACGATGTCTTTACACGCGGATGGACGCGACGTCGCGTCCGGCACATGTCGCGCGAGATACGGGCCGCGTGACAATCGCGTCGAAGCGGCGACGCGCCGAAGCGGCCGGAGGCGTCCAAGCGACGGCCGCGCGATTTTCTCGCACTTTTTCCTAGTCTCTATCTTCTCTCGGGATATTTCCCGTCGTTAGATACACGCGCTTGATCTTTTCTTCTCCCTCTGCTCGTCTCCTCTCACCGTATGTTCCGCGTGTCGTGGAACTTGACACCATACGGCCTTTTGTTTTCCCACGACGGGAATTAGTTAATCGCACGGGGGTCTCACCTCGGCCGCTTTGAGAAGCTGTGCATAGTTGAACTCGGGGCATGTCTTCTCGTTCGACTCGGGCAGGGTGAGCGTGAAGCGAAAGGAGGGCGCGAGCTGCTTGCCCATATTTCCCTTTTTCTCCTTCTTCGTCGCGTGGCCCAGGGACTCCGGGAACTCCAGGGTCTGCAGGGGTACCCGTTTCGCCTCTGACATTCCTACATTTGCACCGAGCCTAACGCGGATCACGGAAACACTGCGGACACTGCGACCGCGGCAACATGGTACCCTCTCTCACTCTCTCCCGACCTAAACACCGCGCGGACGCCGCCGCTCACACGTCGCCATCTTCGGCTCGACTGTTTTTAGAGTGCGCTACTGACGCACCGCGAGGACGACGCGCATGCGCCGCCCCTCGGCTTCGGGCGCGTCCACACAACATCGAGACGTCATAAATACGGTTTATTTAATTAAACTCGCCTTAAGATGTGAAGTTGTACCAAGTTTAGACGTATTTGGGACATGCGTATCTAAATGTTTATGCATCGTGATTGTTGATTATGTCAAAAACTTCATAAAGCGAGAATATGACGAGTGATGGTATGCTGTCTTACAGAGAAACTTAATGAATAAAAAAGCGAAGCTAATTTAACAATTTGACAGCTTTAAAAAGTGCCAGTAAAATTAAAAGGTAATAGAACATGGAATTAAAGAATTATCTAAATTTATATAAATGTTTTATGAGAAAAAAAATTTTTATAAATGTACTTTATTAGAAAACTACTACAAGTCTTAATTATATTTAATATTATCATGAATTATAAAAATACTTGTATGCGTCCTTAAATATAATATATATGTATAAAATATTTCATATTCTCTCAAGCGCCTGCAATATAGTAAGTAAAATATCAGTCTTCGAATTGTATATATATATACATTGTAATTGCATACATTTATAATCTCTGTAACATATTATGCAGAATTGTAGAAATCTAAATACATAATTGACAACTTTGAAAAATCTGTTAAAATATTGTCCATTAAAAAAATCTTATATCTTATTATATACTACAATTAAAAAGTATCTGATTTCTAAAATTGATTGGAGAATATTTGATTGTAAAATATATATATATATATATTCGATGTTTAATGAGATATCTCTGGATCATTTTTAATTGCTAGATACATTATCTTTCTTTGCTATTTTAATTGCTGAAAATTGCTGACCTAAAATCTTCATCACCTCAGCGTGTTTCATATTATTTTTCTCTTTTTTCACTGAATTATAATTCTGCTTCACATAAAGCGCAAAACCAGAAGGTTCTCTTTTTGGAGTTTGCACTTGCTTAATGCCAGATTTAGTTGTTTTATTAACTAACAATTCAAACTTGCCAAGACAATGACCACATCGTTTACGTTCAATATCCAAAGATTTTGAATGTCTTCCAATACTGCAACAAATAACATCACTAATAATAAATAAAATGTTTAAATTATAAACAGAGAGAGAATAAATTTATATCATAATTTGATACCTGTATCCACAACCTGTACATCGATATGTATACTTAGTTTTAATGTCATAATCATGACATCTACGAATTGGTGGTAATTCAGGAAATGTTTCCATTGCCTTATTAGCCCTATAATAAAAATAAATTTTATAATATTTTGCACAATAAAGATTATAAAAATATTTTATTACAAAATTTAAAATACTAAATTATATATTTGAATTATTTGTCAGTTAAAAGCATTGTAACATAATGTACCATTTTGTCCAAAAAGGTCCATGACCATCCGAGATATCGTTTATTAGCCAAGTTGCAGCATGACACATCTCGTGAATCAAAGTATCTCTTAATCTGTCTGGTGTATCCACAATCTATAAAATACATTTATTTCTTATGTTAATTATGTCTGATTGATTATAGCCATGTACATATAAAAGAAGAAAAAAAGAATGTACCTTTGTTGCCAATACAATTCTTGAAGATTTAACAACACCACTAAGAGTTCTTATAGATTTCTTGTTATAACAAAATCCAGCAGTTCCTCTCATACGAATATTCCACTCAATCGACATATCTTGAGGCAACTGATTATCAAATACTTTTTCATTATACAATTTATATAATTTTTTACATAATTCATCTTTATTATTTTTATAATCCAATCTATACTTTTGTGCATCTGGATGAGTATTACTTATTGGAATTGTACTTGACAAAGATGTCAAAAAGCTTTTGTACCCTATAGACTTATTTGCTGCAACTAATTTAAATCTGGATTGTTGTGGAGTCCTATTAACTTCTAAAAGTATATATCAAGTTATTTTTAAATTGAGTGTATATCAGGTTTATCGATATTTTTTAAATATTTCTTACCTTTTTTATATATATTTTTTGGTGGTACATAATCTCCAGGGTCAAATTCACTTGTGCTGGAACTTTCATCATCACTAAATGATAATCTTCTTCTATGTAGATTCTTTTTTGGAACTTCAGATTTCTCCTTGGAACTGCTAGATTTATCATTTTCATCTTCAGTATCGATATCACATATTGCTTGAAGTCTGCACCAAAAAAATATTTGATTAAATTCTGTATCTTACCAACGTATAACAATATATATAACATAAATGTACCTTTAATTAATACCTTTAATATATAACACTATACCTATAATATATATATAATATAAATATACCTTTTAATTGAAGATACCACTGGCATAGGTTTGGATGCTGTACTATTTATAGAAGTTCTTGGATTTGTTAATGCAGTGTGATATAAACTCTCACTATCACTACTTAGTGATTCGTCATTAATAAAACTGTCTTCTTTTCTTTGATTTTGTTGAATATTCTTTTTTCGATTTAATTTAATGTTTTTAACTAAAATCAAATTTTTTTAAAAGAAAATTAGAACAACAAATCAGATTTTAATAAAATAGAGTGAAGATTCTTACCCATATCAGATTTATTTGAATCTGAATCTGAATCTGTTATATAATATCTATTCTTTGATATAGGTTTCCTACAACAGAATATAATTTATTAAAATAAAACAATTTACAGACATTTTTATTAAAATGAAACAATATTGCACATATAAAAATATTAATCACCGTTCTGTTTGGATAATTCTATTTGTTATTTGATTAGATGTCTTTCGTGGTTCAGTTGTTGGTAATAATGCATTAGCTTTATCTCTCCATGTATTACCATAAAGATTATCTAAAATATCTGCACAGTTCATTATATCCATATTTGTAGGTGTGTTTATCACTGAGGAGGCAACTTTTTTGTCAGTATTCACTTTCAGCAAAGATCTATCTGGTGTATTAAACTGAGAAATATTATTATTAGGATTTTTAAAATATTCATCAGTTATAGTTTGATGTGTCAAAAATGAATTAATCACTTTGTCAGAATTAATAATTGTGGTTTGCTTCTCAGTTTGTACTTTGTTGATTTTTCCTCTATTATTTGGAGTTTCATAATCCAGTTCTAATCTTTCTAGACTGCTGTTTCCAGAATCTATGCTATTTCTAATACTTAGAGGTATGTTGCTGCAAGAACTATCACTTAAAGAATTAGGTGAATTTGTCATAAGCCATTCTGCAATTTGTCTTTTCTTCCTTTCAGATAAAGATTTATGAAGATCCTCTTTTCTTAGTACATCAAGAAATTTACTATATGTTTTGTATGATTTCAACAAATCCGTTTGTGAACTAACATTATCCTTAAGACTTGTATCAATAACATCAGGATCGTCATTAAAATTATATTTTATTTTTTTGTCATAATTAGGTGATATAGCTGGATGTATTACATGTTCATCTGTGCTTTCATCAATTATTACATTAGTTTCTTTTTTCTCTCTGGGAGAATTATACACAACCTGTGTGGATTTTATATTTTTCAAAATTTTATGAGTATCTTGCTTTGTAAGTTTCATCTTTCCTGTTTTATCTCGTTGCAGAGTATTATAAACTGGAAATTTATTTACTCTGTTAGTAATATCAGAACCATCACTATATGTAAGATAGTTTGGAGTAATTACTTCATTTGCCTTTTTAACATTGTACTTTTCTCTCATTTTTGAATCTATCATTTTTTTCTCTGGAAACATTAATATAGGATTTTTGTAAGATTTATCATTATTTATTTTATTCTTAGTATTTCTATCATTTATACTGCCACTATTAGCAGTTTCGTCAGACGTATAAGATGCCTTATTAATTTGTATTGTAGTTTTATTTATATATTTTCTTTCCAGAGGTTTATCATCAGATCTGGCAATCCATTTGCATGACAAATTAGGCTTTTCATATTCACTTTCTGAAGAAGAAGTCTCTAGGAAATACAATCTCGGATACTTTTCCTTCTTATTCTTGATAGAATTAGAATTGTATTTCCATCTTGACTTGCTATTACGCTCAGGTGATGAGCTACAACTTGAATCACTAATTATAATAATATCATCCTTGTCTTTTGTCTTACTAGTTGCAACAAGATCCTGTGTGTCTTCAATAATAGAATCTTCAGAGAGTCGTAATGTAAAGTTTTGTGAATCGCTCACAGAGTCTGTCATGTAATCAGATGTCATTTTTAATAATTTTTTTCATTCACACGATTCTAAAAACAAAATTTTATAATCTTAAGTAATTTTTAATATGTATATGTATTTATTTATAGCGTTTTTGTAAATATAATACGTACACGTGCCACTTAAATGATCAATTATATTTTGTAATTTTTATCTCCTTTGATTGTTATTTTAGTGCATTTTGTAGTTCATATCGATCATATCGACTTTAATAAAGAAAATAAATATTGAACAAAGAAGGATCGTCGATAAAAATTATCATATAAAAAAAAATTCCAACTACAAATATAATGCATTGGAAGAAAAAAATTGAATGATAAGATTTATAATATGCTGTACATTCACTTTCACATGCACAATATTTAAGCACAAATTGTGTTAATAAATGTTTCTATCGATTTTTATTAAATAAAAGTAACGACACATTATTATTTAAGGCAAATAATCAACTCGTGAAATAAATCGTGTCAATTTTCAAATCAACTATCCGTTGAACTTTGCTGCCAACTATATAAAACAAGTAGAATTAATAATCTCACCACAAGAAAAGAAATTTCCTGACGCCGAATCTCGATATCCAATAGCAGATCGTACTTTCTAGGGACTTTATCTACATAGTTTAAATCTTCATAGTAAATAATTTTATCGCTTCTGGATTTTTAGCAGGATCTTTGGGTAGGAACATCTAGATATTCGTGCATCATGGCTCAAAGCTTTGATTCCAAGAGGAAAAAACGGAGACAAGATCAGACAAGATACAATAACTCAAAATAAAAAAAATGTACGTAGTTTTTTTATGAGGTAAACAATAATAATACTCTATGTAACAATAGTTAATAATGCTAATTTCTATACTTCTTATTACACACACACACAAAGATTAAAGATGACTTCGCGCGCTTGTGATTAAATTTTTATTAACTCTAATCAGCAATTAATTTAACTGATCGCCTCTAACAAAATTTTAGATTATAATTTATTATTCCTTCATTATCTTTTTCTTATAAGTTAAGATAAAGTTTTATTTATGTTAATAAAGTATTACAAGTATTATTCTTAATAAATTAATTAATGAAGTTTGATCAAAGTGTCTCTTACATATACAATGCAATACAAGATGTTTTTATTATAAATTTTTTGTATTAATCTAAAGTTGAATGTGCAATTCTGAAAACATCAAAAATATTAATATTTAAAATAAAAATTTTTTTCCTAAACATTTTGGAATCTGTATCTACAACCCCTTGTATGTTACCGATTGAGCTTTTATTTGATCTTCGTCAGAGATAGAGGGCATTACTACATTGATTTCGTATAGCATGTATTGTTTATTTGAAATATACTTCACATCTCACTTTCAGGTGTCACAGTTCACGTTCGTGTCGAGGATTTGCGTTTGGAACAAATATGTGGATTTGTGAGAAGTGGCCTCAACTTTCTTCTACACATAAGCGAAGGTAAATTTTAATCTTCTAATATGTAAATGTTATTACAGACTTTTCGTTATATTTGAAAATATATATTTTGTATAAACAAAAAAAGAGAGGAAGGAGGGGATCATACATATGCATTAATCTCTTGGCAACGTGCAAACTCGTATGGAAGGTTTTGTTTGAATGCAATCTGCACAAGTCTGTCAGAACTTTTTTGATCTGATATAGATACCAACGCGCCAACAATAACTCTAATTCGAAAGCTATCCGAAACGGCCGTCAAACGAGGACGAAACTCAATCAGGATCCCATCTATCGTATTATTCGCACAAAGCAGACCTCAGATTGGATTATCTATTCGCGCTTCCCACCACACATTATGTACTCTCGCAGTATAATAGTCGTGATGTGCGCGTTATAGCCGCAACAGGAGATTATGGCATATATCCACGATTAACCATATGACCCTGATTCTGCGATATTTTTCATCCTTGTAATATGCAGCGTTGAAAATTACATCTGGATCACCGCATCACGAAAATTAAATTTTATAGTTCTAATGAAAAAACAATTTGAAAAATAATTTAATTCCTTCAAATTAATTAATCAAGCTATTTTTATAAATCAGTTGATTAAATTTAATTTTATAGCAATTTATCGCGACGTGTTTCGAATAAAAACTCAATTTTGCGCAGCGGTCGTGTGCACATGACAAGCTTAAAACGTCAACGTATATATACGTATATATACATCGCAATATATATATATTTGCGCTAGTGTTCGTTCGCAATGTAGCGGTCGCATAATACTAAAAGCATCTGCTCCAAAAAAAAGAATAAAAAGAGCGGCTTAACCAACATTGGTTATCCAATTTACAGTCAAATTTCAATGAATACGAATCACGACAAGATACACTGATCAAACTCCATTTTGGTTGACATCGAATACACTAGATTATATTTGTTTTCTGCATAAATTTAAAACTGATATCATATCGCGATAACGTTTGTAGATTATTAAATGTAGTGTTAATTTTTTTATAGCGTAAAATTGAATATAAAAGCTCCGAAAATTACATACATGAGATATATTTCTTAAACTTCATTAACTCAATATTAACAAATCCAAAAAATGTGATTCATAAATTATGATATAAATAAAGAATTTACATTATGCAATATATATTGCAAGGATGTAAAATATGAACTGCATTTATAATTGAAAAGCAGCATGAAGCTTATCCATTGATTTATGACTTCCTTTCTTCAATCTCTTCTTTTGCTTATCTACGAAACTTGTGGTGTAAAAGTTAGTATAATAGATAATGAAAGACAATGATTACATGTAAAGAATATAAAAAGAATGTTTTTTATGAAAAATAAGAACAAGTAAAACATAGACAATATAATTATTGATCATATATATATATATATATATATATATATATATATATATATATAGTATATCAATATTTGTGCACTGATTAAAATACAATAGATTTTAATAAATAACTGCAAAAAGTAAATACACATTAAAGTACATATATATATACTCTTAATTTGCAATTGCTCTAAATTTTAAGAAATTATTGGAAATGAATAATATTATCTCTCATCTCACAGTGTGATTGATGTTATTAAAATAAATTTTAAGTCTGTGTATATATGTGTAAGAAAATATATATATTACTAGTCAATTGAGATGTACGTTTAAGCAAAGCTAAATCAGCTAATTAGTATATGCTTTTGACAACGGAAAAATTATCCATCAACGAGTATAAATGAGTTGATCATTAGCGTGGATGCTCAGTGATTTTTCGCGATGAATCCGAAAGAAGCGCGCTTCTTTGTGATACTCTAGCAAAGAAGGTCGACCGCTATTGTTAACTGAGAGTTGCCTCGTGAGCCGTTCTTGACGTTAAACGTGATTTAACGCGAACGCGAATTTCTTGAAAGAAACGGGACGTAGCGTTGATATAGACTTTGCGCTCTCTGATAAAAACAATCCACGTGTCAGAAAACAATGCCAATATAGATAATGACAGTCGCCCACGTGAGCTTTGCGGTAAATATGGAAGGAATACGAGGATGGGTGGGCGTATAGAAACAAAGAAAAATTTTTCAACAAAAGAACTCGGCCCGCGAGAAATGCTTGGAAAATGACAAACCGAGCCGAAAGTAAATCCAAGGTATTCCTATCGAATTTCGTTTACCGCATAAATAATTTCTTATTCAATGCGTCATTGCAATTTCTCCACAGATTCTAAGCTAGAATTCTAAGCTTAGAATTCTTGTTTCTCAGCTCGTTCCATTTCGTTCTTTTGATAGGCCGTAAGTAAACTTGGTTTACTCTATATAATTGTTTTCTAACAAAAAGTTCCCTCCATATTCTCCAGAATAAGTCTAAAGAAATCAATAGGGTGCCTTAACATGAAATGTAATTTAATTTTGGCGATTTAAAATCAATCACTTGTGGGAAAACATGCAGCGTATTCGGGAAAATATTTATTCTACTTAATTAAGATATTATGCTTAACAATATTTTTGCAAACATCATATCGATGTTTTGGCAAAAGAGATAAAAAGAAAACAGAAAGAGAACATTCGGCAAACCAATTTGTGGAAGAAATATATTCGATTAGTTCTTCTACTGGAACAACGCAACTAACAATCGATCAATGACATACTGGGAATACCAATTTTAAACGTGTTTGGCAAATTGATCACGTGTACCTACTCGTGAATATAAAACTCTTCCGGCAGATAGAATTTTTTTCATAAAGTACATTGCTTGTATAAATATAACTTGTTACATTTCCGCTATCTTTCAATTAAAAACTCAATTTTATCAATTTTCGATATGTATGTATATATGTATGTATGTATGTATGTATATATGTGTGTGTGCGTATACTTCGTATTTGTATAAAACGGAAAAATAGCGGGATATCTTCATTTAATCATTTAATTAATAATTACACAAATTATACCCAAAGTCGCATTATTCATTTCAAAATCAAATTACAAGTCACGAATCAAATTCATTGAATCTCGTTTTAACTTTTTTCATCTTCCTGCAGACATTCCATTACCGATACACTACCCGAATGATGCTGTTTTTCTGTATCATGGCAGATTCATGAGGGTATCAATTCCCCGATAACATCTACAAAAACATTCATCGATCCAGTTAACCTGTAACTCGTGTAAACCCATTAGATATCTCAAAGAAGAGGGTGGGAAAAAACTAGAAGAGGGATCGTCGGAGCGGTTGGTATTGCATCGGGCGTGAAAATCGGCGAGGTTTACCAGCAACTAGTGGCGTTGGTCGAAGCTCCGAACCCCCGAAAGAGCTCTATAGTCTTCTATAACGCATCTGGCACCCCTTCTTCGTTGAACGAGAAAGAAAGAGAGAAAGAGATAGAGAGAGATAGAGAATCTTGTTCCCCCATTTTCCACGAGAGAATCCTCCCTCTCATGCCTCGCTTCCGCCACCCTGTATCTCTCTCTCCGTCGCTCCCTCTTTTTCCCCCTTCCCTCTCTCCCTATATCTCGCACGCCGCGTTCCTCTCGCGCGCTCGCGCGTTCTTCGGCCTCTGGAGCGAGTCGCAGCATCCGTTGGACCGTTCCGGACTTCAGTCCACGTCGAGAACGCGTCACTGTCGGGACCTCGAGGAAGTGACAGTCATCCGGAAGCTTGTGGCCAGCATCGCGTACACGACACTATATTGTTACTGTTAGGCAGTAAATATCGTCTAAAGTTATGACACCGTAATCTTTCAGCGATAGATATCCAAAGATACAGAGATAAAGATAAAAAGGAAATTATTCGAGGCAAAACAAGCCTCCCTTCATCACGCATTCATTGCATATCATTATAGATCTTTTGGATAAAAATTATCTACAAACGGCGAATACGAATTCTTTGAATTAACCGTGCATCAATTAATCAAGCATTAATATCAGTTAATATCAAATAATCGGTTCATCACCGATTAACATTGGTACCAGGCTTCATTGGTACCACGCAAGTGCAGAGTCGCACGAGAGAAGCCGGGAAAGTTTTCACGAGGCATAGCCGGAGAGTTTCCGGCCGGTTCTCCACCCGAGAGGAAATTGCGCTCGGCAATAAGATAAAAACGAATAACAATTCGTTGAATGCTCTAAAAGCTTGAAGATATCTCGGGTCAACCAGCCGGTGACCGGTTCTGATGCCGACACGTGCTGAGCGCGATTGTTGAGGGTGCGGCGGAGCATAGGAGACGAACGGAGCCACGAGGGCCCGTGGGAAGAGCTGAAGAAGAGGGAGCTCGGGCCGGGCGACTGCCAGAAGTTGTTGCCCAGTCCCGGTGAGGGGGCGGACATCGGGCCCGGATGCTCGCGAGGACGAGACGTCGGAAACGCTGCCACATTGGAAGGGAAAATATTGACGGCCGTCAACAAGTTCCTTACAACGTCCCCTTTGGTTAACAAGGTCAAGTTGTTGATGGTAAGTCTCTCGCTCTGTTCTCCCTTCCCTAGCTCTCTCTCTCTCTCTCTTTCTCTCTTGTCGACACGATACCGCGAACGTCCACGCGGCCACTGACTCGACCCCCGTTTAGTTTCTCGTTTTCTCGACGTAGGAGGACTCACAACTCTGCTTTGAATGCAGTTAGTTCGCAGTTGTCGCAGAGCAGTCGTCGCGATTGTACCTTCCGCCTCCGGAAAGTTTCAGGGTGACGATGTCCACCGTTACAGCGAGGAAGGTACAAGATATCGACATGATTCCCATTTCTGATTGACGGGGAAAATTGGTTTTTCAAGCTAAGTTCCTCTCATTGATTTCACCATTTCCATGACATAGGAGGACCAAATTCCGAATTTCTAATTATTAAAATGTAAAATGTCTTAAGTTTTTCATTTCATATTACGATCCTTGGATACTCTCAAATTTTGATTTTTCAAATGCGACAAAGTTTATTTCTTTTAAATATGATTTTATTTTATTATAATTATCATAATTAATGTTGCGGGTGTTAGACATAATATTTGGCATATAAATTTCATTAATTTCACCTCTTGAAACGTGAGCAATAAAAGTGGGCACACGGCTGATTATTAGAATTCCTAACTTAGATCACGTTTTGCATAATTTACGATTATTCATCGTTCTGCTTCGGAACTTAACCACCCCTGCTTTCCATCGTCGTGGAGAGCTTGACGGGCCGTGAAGCATAATTGGCGATCCACTTTGCACCGCTGATCGTGTCGACGTAGCATCGTCAATCGAATATTTGTCACCCAATACCTATTTATTTTAGAACGGTAGAGTTCGTTAAATTTTAGCAACTTGTCTCGAAATCAAAATGCTTTAAATTTAAATCGTAGGTAGAAATTTCTAAATGCCATATATATATATCGGCACTGGAAAATTCGATAAAGTATGCAAAAATATGAAAATAATAACATACGTAAGTGAGATAATTATTTAGAAATCACTAAAACATGCATTTTTCTAACATTTTATATTATTATATTTGTAATTTAACTTTCTTCATCTCTTAATAACTATCATGAATTACACATAAATAATTAAGATTAATAGAATCGAAATTTACACAAATGAAATAATGTAAAAAAATAATCGTATAATTTCTTTAATTTTAATCCATTTGTAATTTAATTATTTTGGTAGAACGGTATTTATTATTTTGATGAAACACTATTACTAAGGAGCGTTTGTGAGCACAATAATTGCTTGGTTAATTTCCAGAGGACAAGGATTATAGTTCTGTGCGAGCAACATAGTGTATTCTCAGTAATTAGAGACATACTCCGCCTCGAGATATGCATACTATGATTATACCTTTCCTCATTTATGTATTTTTTGTCTTCGCAAATTTTTCTTTCTTAATCTTCTATACTTCTTACAGTATTCTAAAAATATTTTACATAAATCTAAGGAATTTTTTTAATTTAACTTGACATCAGACATCTTAATAACTTAAGAAAAGTTGTTAGGAAGGACACATAACTTTTAACGTTTACATTAATATGTACGATTCTGCCTTTCTTTGGTAATTTAATTTTCAAATTTCGGAGAACTTTAGGTGCTCTGTTCTATTCCTTGTTAAATATTTTTGAAAAATGAAGTTATCTTCTAATGTAAATATGAAGAAAAAATCCGTAAAAATTCTGTATAATTAATTGTCGCTTTTTTTAATATAATGAAAGAGATTTTCTATTCAGCCCTAATATTCAAATAACTCTTTTTTTATTTTTAGTTCAGCTTTAACTAAACTTTTGACTTATCACTAAATATTATATCGTAAACAGAAATACATGTTGTAATTCGTCAAATATTTACATTTCCCTTTTCATTCGCAATATTTGCGTAATTGTCTGCGTACTGAAATAATGCACAATTAACTACGTCCCTGTGTACTCGTTTACACGCAATTATATCTTCGATGATCAATTATGCGTGATACACGTGCCTGCATTACGCTCTCTATCATGCCACTATAATCTGATTGTGAGATGCATAAGTCAGATATCCTCATTTTTCTAATAAATCGATTATTCACCAATAGTAGCCTATCCATTGATATAAGTGAGAACGTAAAAAAGAAAATTTAAAATTTATGTCAGTATGATACAATATGTATACTGATTGTGAGACTCATTCTACAATAAGTCGGATGTCGGGCGCATGCGTATTGTCAGCTGTCATTTAAAATTGTCGCAATCGGCTATCGAAGTCGCAACAAGATGGTCAACTTTCATTTTTTCCAATCCTTATGGCTGCGTTCAGCAGAAAAAGCTGCTTGGCAACTGTTGTAAAATTCAAAAAGAAAATGGCGTAAGAGCTGTTGTAAAATTCATGAGCCTGATTGGTGTATGCTCTTAATTTTGGCTGAATCTAAGCGCATACCAACCAGATTCACGAATTTTACAATAGTTGCAAAACAGCTTTTCCTGCTGAACGCAGTCTATATACGGCTGGCAATATAAACTTTTGTAATTTTGATTTTAGAACATAGGGTAAATAATAAAAGTGTTGCACTGAATTTTCAAGTTTAAAAAATCGTCGTGATTATTCATTCGTAAACATATAAATTAATATTTAATTAAACATATAATTTGATATTTAATACTCTTATATTATTAAATAATATATTATTAAAATAATTATTCTACGACTTACAATTCAATTGTAGAATGACAAATCATATTCGGATCCAACATTCACCATACGACAAGCAATATCCGATATACATCTTATTATAAAATATGAGAGAAAAATCTGAAGGAAAATCGCATCGGGCTTTCCTCGTCCTCGTTATCGAAAATATTGAGTGGGGCCCGTCCATAGAATTTTCATAAAGGACAAGGTCCTAAGACTCGCGACTTATAAAAAGAATAATATTTTGTTTATCTAATACGAATATTTTAAGGAATCTCTGGAAATTTAGAAAATATACACTCTCGAGAATTACCGAAGCAGTAGCTCTCGCAATCAGTATTTTATATCATAATATTTAAAAATAATATTTAACATAATATTGTAGTAATAATGTTTAACATAATATTTAAAAATGTTGACGTAATTATATATTGCATATATCGATGTGAATCGCATTTTTCGCACACGAATATTAATTTAAATCAAATCTTTAGAGATAAATAATAGATGGATAGATAAATGCATTTATTAATATTCTAGGCTACTAATATTCAAGCTTTCCACATACAAATATACATATAATAAATAATAATAATAAATACAAATGCGTTTTCCAACGATAAAAAAGTAATATTAAATTAAATAAATACAAGATATATATATATATATATATATATATATATATATATATATATTAATAAATGTGAGTTATTTGATGAGAATACTTTGTTTTAAATAATCTTATCATATTATGTATTAAGATGAAAATCTGTGCATGCTATAGGAAAAGAGAAGGAAATAGAACATAAGTATTTGAAATGTTGCATAGATAGAAAATAAGAATTTACCGATCGTGCCATGCATTAATGTTAACCGCGAGATCATTACTACGAACGCATCGATTACGAAGTTCAAAGCGAGAGTGGCTTGGTCGACACTTGCCTGCGGTGGCGGGACATCGAATATGTACCGTTCAATATAATGAATAGAATGCTTTCCATCCAGTGGAGATATTTAATTAGTTCTGATTAAAATGATAAAGTGAATTAATGTGTACGCATAGATTTTAATATACAAACGTTTTTCAGCAATTAATTATACCATCTTAGATGTATATTTTCAATATTTATATAAAGATTTAAAAATGATTTATTGGAGCGAAAAATTTCTTTAAAGAATTCGAAAAATTACATTCGAAAAATATCAAAGCATAAAACTTACATCTTTCATTTTAAGATTTTCGATAAAATCAATTGAAAAATTTTTGCTAGTGCAAATTTGAATGGATTATTTCTATTTTAAAACTGAAATAAAAATACTAAATAATAGTTCTATTACATATTTTTTATCTTAAAACGTATACGCTAAGATACAAATTAAAGCTTCACTCTCCCAATATAAAATAAACTAAAGAATGTGACTTTTCTTTTCATTAACTCATTACATTTTATGTAATTTACAAAGTTCAGTAAGAACTTTATATTCGCGATAATTACAAAACTTGGAAAAATAGGAAATATAGAAAGAAGAAATATATGTAAAATCAAAGTTAGATAAAAGTATTTTATATTTTATTTAATATTTTTCATATATTGTCATTTTATTTACTTCTTTTTATTATTTTTTAAGGTATATGTTGCAGAGAATCTTTTAGAAATATTTATTTCCTTAAAGTAATTTATAAATTTTACTTTAAATTTAATTTTAAATTTAATTTTATTTCATTTTATTTTTATGTTTTACTTTTCCTCAGACATTATATTAATGTTTCACAATTTGTACTCGTTATTTTCTTTACTAATAAGCAAATTATAAATATTGGAAATGACTACAAATATCGAACGTACCAAGTGCTAATAAAGTTTCTCCTACATTTGCATGCTATATGCGAAAATTTGATCCAATGAACCCAACATAATACAGTTCAGTGTAATATATTCAGTAACGTCGGTGATGCCGATCAACAACAACACTTTGGGACGTAAAATAGATGATATCGTTCGCGTATTTTCAGATTCAACTCACATACCAACTTCATATATACATATCAATGTTATCCGGACCGCCACTTCAGAGGGGATGCACAAAGTTCCTTGTAGAAATTCCATTTTCTGATACATTTCGGCGACGCGAGAATCTACCGTGTGTATACACACATGCGTGCGTATATTATCCGGCGCGCCGGAACGAGAGAAGCAGGAGGGTCCGAGCATTGTCCCCTGGGGCGAGTCCTCGACTTTTGCTGGGGTGCCATACCCCGAGTGCCTTTATCATGCGACGTTACGTTCCGACCGTGCAGACGGGAAATTCCGGCCGAGTTCGTT